ACAACCATGAGAATTAAATCTCATACAAAGAAAATAATTAAATTAAGTTCTAGATAAAATACTTAAGCATGCATACAAGTTATATAAGTTTATAAAACAATCAATACAACAATTATGTAAGCCTAAGACATTCCCTACCTCACTTTGAGATGAAATCTCAAATCCCCATCAAAAGGAAACCGCTCCGAATTCGACGATACTTCGGGGTTTTGTCGGGGATTACGAAGGAAACAACAATCACCTTTAAGGTATTACCAAAATTCAAACCCGAACTCAAAAGTGGTCGGAAAATGGATTCTAATAAGTGGGAAAAAATCGCCTCACTAAGGCCTACGATAAACACTAAGGCACTATGCATTTTGCTTAAGGGAAGAAGGTTGATTTGGGGAAAAAAGGGTGATAGCCATGGAAGAGTTTAGAATATGATCTTCAGTAGTGCTCGTCGGGTTCGAAAAAGTAGAATTTGCGTAGACGTGCTCAAACGATAAAACACCGTGAACAAAAAAGAACCGAAATGAAAAAAAATGAACAACGGAAGAAACAGCGTCGAAAATCGAGTCCCGTACAGAAAGATATGCCCCAAACAAGTTCAGCGGTAACAGGGGCCGAAAACCCTAAAACTGGGAAAAACGACCGTGAAGAAATTCTAAAGTACACGACTCAACGAAAAGTGAAAATGAATCCCATACGAGGATCTAGGCTCAAAACGAGGCATTTTGCAATAACTTTTGTTAATTGCACAATGACCCCTACAAAAAGGGATAACTGCAAAACTGCCTAGAATGAAAATATCTTTTTTTTTAAAAAAAAACCCCTAATCAAAATATCTCCAAAAAATATTTATGAAAAATACCCCAAGAAATATCAATGTTTCGAAAGAATCCTTTCATCCACGCCTCTGCGGGAGAAAAAAAACAACCGGCGAGCTTTTCTCTAAAAGTAAAGCTACTCGTTTCGAGGAAATCAACTGAAATGAAAACTCGGGAAGTCAAAACTCAACTTCGAATATGAAAAGTGAGGTTGTGCCAACAAAGTGACAAATGAGAAAAAGACGAAAAGTGAATAGTGTTTAAAAAATGAAAATGTAAAAATGACTCGATCCTTAAAATAAGTTATTAATTCAAAGGAAAGAGTCTCGGAAACCATCTCCGAGCACTCAAGACGACACTAAGTGATGGGTAACCGAACTCAAAAAAGAAAATTTAATGGAAAAAATTCATTCGTAAAATTTAAGAAAGGAAAGGAAGAACAATGACAAGGTCTTACAAGAACAATGGCTCTTTCTTAACAAATCTGGAACCTGTTCTTCATTTTTCTTATTTTGCTTCATGATTTGTATGCCTTTATCTGGCTTGGCTTATCTGTACTGCCACTTTGGCTTGGCCTCTGTGCCTTTCAAAGTGACAGTACAAATAAGCTAAGTCAGATAAAGACATACAAATCATGAAGCAAAATAAGAAAAATGAAGAATAAGTTCTAAATTTGTTGAGAAAAAGCCACCGCTTTAGAATGGAAACCACCAAGTGAGAAGAGCAGCAACTAAAATGACCAAATGTCAAGCTATCGTCAAAGCAACAGTTTCAAAACTACATACATAAAGTGTCTTCACACACCTAATCCTGCATAAGATCAAATTAACCCGCACAAAATCTATATATGGATTCTGCTAAACTGATAAGAATGATGATGTATGGACGTACATATGGACTTGAATACCTCATAATATATACATAATAATACTAAATGTCAAATGTATCCTTAGTTTTATTGTGTCACATATGATTAATAGTTAACCAACCATGAAAGGTATTTGAAAGTAATATATATATATATATATATATATATTTAATTATATGTAAGATGGGTTGAAATCAAAGAAAGAAAATATAGTGTAAAAGAAAGTAATATTCTTAATGAGATTTCGAAAATTCATATAAGATTCAGTTTTACTTTAATTTAATAAATTTTCATTTAAAGTCATTAAGACTACTGTCATCTTGCTTACAAGAAAAAATTATCTGTATATATTAATATAATATATCAGTCAAAAGTTTTAATGACTTAAAAATTTAAAGAAACGATATCAGGAGGTCAATGCCAATGTAGTAAATTAATTTTTATTCATCAAGAAAATTTTATTTTGAAGCTTTATGCCTTTATCATGATTTTGTACCGAGATGCAAATCTAGTTATGTATAATTTTATTTAGTGTGATTTTGAGCTGAATTTTTTTACAGGGAAATCAATTTAGTATTGACTTCTGGTAATAATGTAACTTGCGCACTATTATTATTATTATTATTTTTCTTTCAAAATATGTTTTTTTATTTATATATATATTAAAAAAAAATCAAAACAAATAGTATAGTAACATTACTCAAAATTTTAATTTCTCCTGCAGAGGATTAATATTTTACCTTTGAAAGTTTGAATTTCTAACGTCGCAGACAATGACAGTCGCCTCTAATTTCGTATTATTTGACTCTGCATCTCTTTCTCTCTCTCACACACACACACTCACTCTCTCTCTTTCTCTCTCTCTCCGATTCAACACTGGCCCACCCAGCCAGCGCAGCGCAGCGCACCTAACCATTCATTTCAACGTTGAACGAAGCTCGCGTTAGCGGTGATCCAAGTTAGGGTTTCGTCTTTCCTCCGTCGTCATCCTCCTTCTCCGCTCCCCAAATTTCAAGTCCTTTTAGAGAGAGAAAGATCCACATGGACTCTGTTCATCATCTCCCACTCGCGCAAGTCAAGTTCCTAGTAATGAAAAAAAATGAACAACGGAAGAAACAGCGTCGAAAATCGAGTCCCGTACAGAAAAATATGCCCAAACAAGTTCAGCGGTAATAGGGGCCGAAAACCCTAAAATTGGGAAAAACGACCGTGAAGAAATTCTAAAGTACACGACTCAACGAAAAGTGAAAATGAATCCCATACGAGGATCTAGGCTCAAAACGAGGCATTTTGCAATAACTTTTGTTAATTGCACAATGACCCCTACAAAAAGGGATAACTGCAAAACTGCCTAGAATGAAAATATCTTCTTTTTTTTTAAAAACCCCTAATCAAAATATCTCCAAAAAATATTTATGAAAAATACCCCAAGAAATATCAATGTTTCGAAAGAATCCTTTCATCCACGCCTCTACGGGAGAAAAAAACAACCGGCGAGCTTTTCTCTAAAAGTAAAGCTACTCGTTTCGAGGAAATCAACTGAAATGAAAACTCGGGAAGTCAAAACTCAACTCCGAATATGAAAAGTGAGGTTGTGCCAACAAAGTGACAAATTGGAAAAAGACGAAAAGTAAATAGTGTTCAAAAAATGAAAATGTAAAAATGACTCGATCCTTAAAATAAGTTATTAATTCAAAGGAAAGAGTCTCGGAAACCATCTCCGAGCACTCGAGACGACACTAAGTGATGAGTAACCGAACTCAAAAAAGAAAATTTAATGGAAAAAATTCATTCGTAAAATTTAAGAAAGGAAAGGAAGAACAATGACAAGGTCTTACAAGAACAATGGCTCTTTCTTAACAAATCTGGAACCTGTTCTTCATTTTTCTTGTTTTGCTTCATGATTTGTATGCCTTTATCTGGCTTGGCTTATCTGTACTGCCACTTTGGCTTGGCCTCTGTGCTTTTCAAAGTGACAGTACAGATAAGCTAAGTCAGATAAAGACATACAAATCATGAAGCAAAATAAGAAAAATGAAGAATAATTCTAAATTTGTTAAGAAAAAGCCACCGCTTTAGAATGGAAACCACCAAGTGAGAAGAGCAACAACTAAAATGACCAAATGTCAAGTTATCATCAAAGCAACAGTTTCAAAACTACATACATAAAGTGTCTTCACACACCTAATCCTGCATAAGATCAAATTAACCCGCACAAAATCTATATATGGATTCTGCTAAACTGATAAGAATGATGATGTATGGACGTACATATGGACTTGAATACCTCATAATATATACATAATAATACTAAATGTCAAATGTATCCTTAGTTTTATTGTGTCACATATGATTAATAGTTAACCAACCATGAAAGGTATTTAAAAGTAATATATATATATATATTTAATTATATGTAAGATGGGTTGAAATCAAAGAAAGAAAATATAGTGTAAAAGAAAGTAATATTCTTAATGAGATTTTGAAAATTCATATAAGATTCAATTTTACTTTAATTTAATAAATTTTCATTTAAAGTCATTAAGACTACTGTCATCTTGCTTACAAGAAAAAATTATCTGTATATATTAATATAATATATCAGTCAAAAGTTTTAATGACTTAAAAATTTAAAGTAACGTTATCAGGGGTCAATGCCAATGTAGTAAATTAATTTTTATTCATCAAGAAAATTTTATTTTGAAGCTTTATGCCTTTATCATGATTTTGTACCGAGATGCAAATCTAGTTATGTATAATTTTATTTAGTGTGATTTTGAGCTGAATTTTTTTACAGGGAAATCAATTTAGTATTGACTTCTGGTAATAATGTAACTTGCGCACTATTATTATTATTATTATTTTTCTTTCAAAATATGTTTTTTTATTTATATATATATTAAAAAAAAAATCAAAACAAATAGTATAGTAACATTACTCAAAATTTTAATTTCTCCTGCAGAGGATTAATATTTTACCTTTGAAAGTTTGAATTTCTAACGTCGCAGACAATGACAGTCGCCTCTAATTTCGTATTATTTGACTCTGCATCTCTTTCTCTCTCACACACACACACACTCACTCTCTCTCTCTCTCTCTCTCTCTCTCTCCGATTCAACACTGGCCCACCCAGCCAGCGCAGCGCAGCGCACCTAACCATTCATTTCAACGTTGACCGAAGCTCGCGTTAGCGGTGATCCAAGTTAGGGTTTCGTCTTTCCTCCGTCGTCATCCTCCTTCTCCGCTCCCCAAATTTCAAGTCCTTTTAGAGAGAGAAAGATCCACATGGACTCTGTTCATCGTCTCCCACTCGCGCAAGTCAAGTTCCTAGTAATCTTCTAACCCTTTTGCCTTCTCTTTTGTTTTCTTATTTCATTTGATTTCTATCATTTCTCTCTCTTGCTGTTTACTTTTCTAGAGAGAAAGTGAAAAACTTTAAGGTTTTGTTCTGAATTTCTATTGCGAAATCGAGTACCCAAATATCAGCTTAGGTCGTTGATTCTTGAATTTAGACAGAGATATTTATATCTTAATATTGTCTTTGAGATTTATATTATGCTCTGTTCATACACGAGTTCGAGTTTCGAATCTGTGACATTACTTTAGCTGATTTGATCTTGGGTTTTGAGGCTTCACTGAGCAAAGAAAGGGTATGCTTTCTGCTTCGCTACTTTCAATTCTAGGATTTCATTTTGGTGATTTAGACGAGCTTGATAAAATCAATGTTTTGATCCTCTTGGTGTTTTAACATCAAATTGGAAGTTCTGGGTATTGTTTGAAGCTTTAGAATGGTTTAAATTTGTGTAGTTTGGGGGAAATTTTTTGAGTTTGCATTGTTGGAGCTAGGTTAAGTTGTTTGCTGAAATGGATAACTCGAGGAACAGGCAAAATGACCATTTGGGTGTGAACAAGATGGGGAAAAATATAAGGAAGAGTCCGTTGCACCAGCCCAATTTTGTCAATAATAACACTAGGCAGCAGCCTCAGCCTAAGGTGTACAACATTAACAAGAATGATTTTCGAAATATGGTTCAGCAGCTGACGGGTTCTCCGTCACAAGAACCTTTGCCTAGACCTCTCCACAACCCGCCTAAACCCCCAAGTATGCGTTTGCAGAAGATCCGTCCTCCACCATTAACACCCATAAACCGACCCCAGATTCCCATTCACATGCCTGTTCCAGCTCAGGCCCCACCTCCCCACACAGCAGCTGTTCCTTACAGTAATAACTTTGCTAGACCTGCTCAATTTAATCAACCTTCCCCTACAATGTTGCTGCCGATGACTCCCGGTGATTCAGCTTGGCCTAACACAGCTGAGTCTCCTATCTCAGCTTACATGCGTTATCTTCAAAATTCAATTATGGATTCAGGGCCAAGACATACCCCAGCTCAACCTCATCCTCATCATCCTCATCCTCATCCTCAACATCAGCCACAATCTCAAGCTCCAGGTCAAATTCAAGCTCAGCCACTGTCACCCGGTTTACTTCCTAACCCACCTGTGCCGCCTCTCCCATCACCACGAATGAATGGTCCTCCTCCACTTTTACCATCTCCTACTTCTCAGTACCTTTTGCCATCGCCTAGCGGTTTCTTGAATTTGTTATCTCCGCGATCACCTTATGCATTGCTTTCTCCTGGTTATCAGTTTCCTCCACCACTGACACCAAATTTTTCTTTCTCTCCAATGGCCCAGTCGGGGATCTTGGGTCCTGGGCCTCAACCTCTGCCTTCTCCTGGCGGTGGATTTCCATTTTCTCCTTCAGGATTTTTCCCCATTACAAGTCCAAGATGGAGGGATCACTAGATGTAGACAGAAAGCTGTTGACTATAGGTGGTCCCATGCTTGATCCTCGGGAAGTACATTCTTCATGTTGACTTGTAATCTTCACAAGGGACCTTCGCTTGTGAAAATGTAATGTATACTGGCAGTGTTAGGGCCTCTTGGGAGTATGTAGTTTTATTTTTCACTGTTTTTCTTTTGTTTATAACAATATCAAGGCTTGTTTTGGAATGTGAATTCTGTAGCAGCTGCAATCTGCTCATTTTATGGAACAAGTTTTACTAGGTGATTTAGTGAAGATTGGAGAACTCATCTGGACAAGTGGACAAAGTCGTAACATGAAAGGAGGTAGGATTACAGACACTAAAATTCAATATGTAGGTTACCCACTGGAGGGTTTTATTTTTTTGTATTTTTATTTTTGATTTGTTTTGTTTTATTGTAATATTGTGGATGAAATTTTAATCAGTTCAATTTAAATAATTCTTCAAATGGCTTGCTCTTGGAAGGAATTTTAAGTTTCTGATTTTATGCTTATTGTGTATGTTATGCACAATGAAGGTTTTTAATTGTTTAGCCATCTTTATTTTAACACAATATCTGCATTGTCTTTTTTTTTTTTTTGATAAGGTATAAAGTACACAAGATCTGCATTGTCAATGTAATATCTGTGATGTACATATAGAACGGTATGCAGTTGATCCTTTAATTTTATTCTTTTCCTATCTTTAGTGTTACACTTTTACATATTGTCTTATTACAGAGAAATCAAGGCTGGAATTTAGGAGAAATTGTAATGTACATTTTAGTGGTTGAAAAAGGAAAAATTTAGAACGAATGAAATTTCTTCTAAATTTGTGTATATATATTTTCCAAAAGTGTCTGAAGATGTGGACAGATACAACCTGGCTTACTCTATTAAATTTCTTGTTGCCTTCCACTGTATAATTTTGACACACTATAGCAAAACTTATCAAGGGTTTGAAAATCTTTAGCAATCCGGACCTTTCCTGAGGAAACTAGTGTGATAAGCGTTGTGTGGTGGGTGGCCAGTCTTCTTCGGGAGCATGCATTGTCTACACTTTCTTTTGACAATACCTTCCAGGTACAACGATACGCTTTAATTATATCTGACAGTTACCATCTTCTTGGATGACAATCCTCTACAAGTACTAACAAGGAGTAGAAGGGTCTGTGGATCTTGTTATTTTATTAATATGATGATTGGAAATGATTGGTGTTGACAATCATTTCAAGGCTACAAAAATTTCTCTATATATTTTTCTCTCCCCCCCTTTTTCCATTTTTGATACTTAGTCTGTTAGGATGAAGAATTCTGCAACTTAAATAAGTATAATTAATTATTTAGGGAGTTTGGTTATCAATCTGAAATTTTCCATTTTTGAGTGAATTTTGATTCAAAATGTAATTATCATCCTATATTGTTTTTTGATGAAGCATTGGTGATCATTCCTTCTTTCCTTCATTTGTGTCCGTAATCCATGCATCATTGTGAAAGTTCTTTGGGGTCTATGCTCTCTTACATGTTGAGTTCTTTCCTTTACTGTCATCCCATGTTACAATTAAGTTGTTGTAATCTCAAATGCATAGTGGAGTTTCTTAAATTCATTCCTTTATTGTTATCCCATGTTCATGCCTTCTGCTGTATGATTACGAGTTGGTTTTAAGTGCGGATGAGCTAAAATCATGAACCCCATAAAACTATATCGTGTAAACCTTCTATTTATAGCGAGGATTGTTTTGTTTATTTATTTGAAGGAGTTCTTTTGGCACTTGGGTTATATTTAAGTAGTTCCATTTTGATGCGTCATGGACTGAAGTAGCTGGTTTTCATGAATTTGTGGGTAAGGTTTGGCACTCCAACCCTAATGCTTCTGCACAATTCTGCCTGAGAAAAAAACTGATCCTCTGTAAGGATGAACTTAAGCAGTGGTGTATCTCTAATTCTCTAAATAGACGTTTTAACTACGCGTATTTAGAGTTGATCATCTACATCTTGCATGCACACTCCTCTTTATTCCTTGTGGTGCTCTTGGTCTGCCATGGGCATATAGTTTATGCCCATTTGCTTCATGAGTTGATTTGTTGAATTTATACTGTCAATTTTATAAATGGATTTCCTGCATTGTGTGGCAAATTGCTAAATAGGTTTTTTTTGGCTATATAGTCGGGGAAAGAAAATGATCGAATTGACAGTAATTGCTTACATCTAATTTATATGGGTATATATCTAAACATGTACTCAAAATACTCTCTTTAGTTTACACGGTCAGCATGATCTGTTTGATGTATTTTTAGAAACTTGGTTGACAGCTAGCTTGTTCTCCTTGTCTTGGCCTCCTCTTTAGAATCTTATTCACGTTGTTAAAGAGATTTTTTAATTTCACCTCTTTAGAATCTTATTCACGTTGTTAAAGAGATTTTTTAATTTCAGTATTAAAATATGACTAAAAATGTTAAAGACTATTATGCCCTCTATGAGACTTGTAATCTTCTTTTCATACCTGTTTACATAGCCAAAATATCTATACACGCATAACCCAACTCTGATTGGTAAAAATTCAGCAATCTAACACGTTTGTTGAGATTCAATTGGTTTATTCACGATCAAGGAGTTGCATTGAGGTTGTTAAAGTTTAATAGCTTACTACCTGAAGATGCAAGAAAAATGCTCTCAATTTAGAAAAGAATAATTCTACACTTCAAATATTTTTTAACCCATTTTCTCTCTATTTTTTAGTTAATTTATAGACTGTTATAGATATTCTAGAAGCTTCCTAACTAACTCCTTACACTAGACTGTTCTTTTGGGCTCTTCCTGGTTATTGACTCAATTCCTTTTATCTGAATTGGGCTTCCAACGTGATTTTCCGGTCTTGGGCCTGACTAGGGAAAACTCGGTCTAGAGCGGTTGCTCTTGCCCGACCCTCTATTAGTAATCTAGATCATTTCTGGCCCAGGTCATTTTTGGTATCCTCACTACCTGTCTAGTAGCAGTCAAGTTTGTACGGTTCCTGTTGCCGGAAACTCTTATTTACCGATGAAAGAATGAGTTGCAGATAAAAATGTTACAACTTGTCGAGAAACCACCGCAAAAGTGGTGGTGGATCTATCTGTCGCCACCACTATCGGCCCCTTTGCCTGAATAATACATTTAATTGAGTTTAACCAAACTATTATCTGTCCTCTATAATTCTCCACAAGCAAGGTTTTTGTATTTTGACTTTGGTTTTAAAGTTGCACAACTGAAATTGCTTGACTTTGATAGTTGAGGTTGTTTCTGATCGTGTAGCTTTATGTGATAATTTTGTTTGACTATTAATAGTATGTTTGGTACAAAATGAAAACAAAATTGTTACAAAACACATATAAACATAATTTTTTAAGATAAAAATATTTTGAAATAGTAGAAAAGCAATCCCAAACGGGCTCTTAGTTTCAAATCATATTAGTGCAGCTTAGGTGCTGTTTGATTATCCAATCCAGCGCTTAATTCTGAATGGATTAAGTAAGCGTTTATTCAATTAAATGCGTTTGATAACGAAATTTGAATATTACCGAAAACGGTAAGCATCACTTAAAATGGGGTAAAATTTTAAGTGATTGGGACCTCGCTTATCATTTAATGCGGAACATTGAAAATTCAAAAAAAATATCAAAAAATATTTATTTTTTTAATTACTACTTAAAAACTTCAGTACTTAAAATTTTCGGTACTTAATTTTCAGTTTTATTAAACAGCACCTTAATTTTCTTTTACAGACCTATTAGCATGATTCTATTGCTGCAAACTAAATCAAAATTCAAGAATTTAGGTTGTTTTAAGTCAGTTGAATTAGATTGGAGTAAATGTTTTGTTATGCTATTTTGAGTTGGGCCGCTAGTAAGCCCATGTTTGGTTTGGTGGACCTTTTTTGGTTCCCTGGCCAATTTTCTTATAGGCCCATGGTATTTGCAGAAAAGAAAAGGCGGCAGTCGTCGGTGGAGTAAACCACCGACTCAATGAGATGACACTCTAAAAGTAAAAAAAATAGTACACACTCATAAATTTTGTTTGATTAGTAATTGTCAAGTTGGCAACTTGGTTTGTGCTTTTCACGCCGGTCTAGATCATTGCTACGTTTCCTCCAATGCCTGATCCATCATTATTTGACCATCCACCTACAATATACTACATATAAATCTCTCATTATCATCCACCAAATCCATTCCTTTGGATATTCAAATCATATTCACAACTCCAATTATATTTTTGCTTTTATCACCCACCATGCAGCCTTTTACCAAATGCCATTTCTTCCAAGGATCAAGTAGCCCCCACTACTATTCCTTTTTATCCAATCTCAATCATCCATAAATTAACATTTCAACTTATTTCTTCAAATTTTCATTTACTTTTTCCTTCAATAAAATATTAATGTCATACAAAGCAACACCCCCCCCCCCCCTTTTTTTTTTCTTTTTTTTTTTTTTTTTTTTATGTATAGGTTTCTAGTAGTATTAATTTTCTATGGTTAATCATAGAATCAAGGCCTGATGGGTGAAATGGAAAAGTAGACATTTAAGCGCGTCGGTTAAGAAAAGTGACATAATATATATTGAAAATAATATTAATTAAAGATAATCAAAGTTAACGTGAATATAATTAATAAAGAAATAAATAATAATACGTGAATCAACTAAGTTAAGACTTAAAATAAAGTGGAATGAAAATATGAAATAGTAAATTTTGTTTTTTCTTTTTTTCTTTTTTTTTTTTTCTTTTCTTTAGTAAATAAGTGAGAATGTCGTAAAAGGAAAAATAAAGTAAAAGTAAAATTGGGACATACCCCAATGATAAGCATAGGCCAAGCAGCCCATATCAGAAAAAGAAGACTTCAAGTATGTAGTCCAAGTATAAGAAGACATATACCCTTAGGCTTCATACGTAGCTAATGATATATAATGGACCATTTAAGGGTAGGGGTATGGTATATGCAATTGTTGTCAACTAGTACATAAATAAATATGCTTGGTTGGCTCCCTCAGTGAGAGGAGTGTTAAATACAGTCGCGCAAGTAACTGAAAAATAAGTTATAATTAATGTGTCTTTCTTATTTTTTTGAAATTATAAAACTTCAACTTTAAAACCAAATTATCTTTTTAAATTATTTTTTATATAACGGACCATTTAAGGGTAGGGGTATGGTACATGCAATTGGTGTCAACTAGTACATAAATAAATACGCTTGGTTGGCTCCTTTAATAAGAGGAATGTTAAACACAGTCGCGCACGTAACTGAAAAATAAGTTATAATTAATGTGTCTTTCTTATTTTTTTGGAATTATAAAACTTCAACTTTAAGACCAAATTACCCTTTTAAATTATTTTTTATGTAACGGACCATTTAAGGGTAGGGGTATGGTACATGCAATTGTTGTCAACTAGTACATAAATAAATATGCTTGGTTGGCTCTCTTAGTGAGAGTAGTGTTAAACACAATCGCGCAAGTAACTGAAAAATAAGTTATAATTAATGTGTCTTTCTTATTTTTTTGGAATTATAAAACTTCAACTTTAAGACCAAATTACCCTTTTAAATTATTTTTTCTTTCTTTATACTTAATAACCTTCCTTCTTTCCTTTGTTACATATATTTAATTTTAATTGTCTTCTTTTTTTTTCCTCTTTCTTTCCTGATTGGATATATATGGCTATACTTTATTCTTTACTTTCTTTCTTTCTTTCTTTTTTGTTCATTTGTCTTATATATATATATATATATATATATATATATATATATATACACACGTTCCACTTTGATGGATTTTTTATTAGATTTTATGTAATTTAATTGAAATAACGGTATGATATTGAGGAGATTGAGTTTTAATTAAAGTAATATTATAAAATTTAAGTTTTAGTTAATATATGAGATAAGAGAATTATTGTTTTCCAATCTATTAACAGTATAGTTAGCTATATATATATATATATATATATATATATATATATATATATATATAATAAAAGAATTGAAAAGAAAGAAAGAAGAAATCAATTCACATAAATTTATAATTTTTTTTTTTTCTTTCTCTTTATTTAAAGAAGAAGAAACAGTGAGAAACCATTCACATGGTGAGCATATATATATATATATATATATATATATATATATATATATATATATATATAGTTAAAAACAATTAAAAAATAGATAGAAAGAATAAGGTAGGTAAATAAAGAAGAATGAAGATTATATATACATATATATAAGTACAAGTAGGACAGAAAAAGAAAAAAAAAAAGAAATATAAAAGAATAATTTGGTTTTAAATTTTAAAGTTTTATGATTTCAAAAAATAGAAAAAATAAATTAATTAAAACTTTTATAATTGGGTTTTTCAACTAATTAGATGTGCGATTGCGAATGCACAGTCGCGCAACACTCCTCCGATATTATAGTAAAGTCACTTAGCATTTTCCTATGTCTACTAATTAGAGGACATCATTATCAATTCCAAAATGTACCCCTTTACCAACTCTAACATACAATTCCCTAATCTCAAAATAATTAATCATCTTGGAAAAACCATTTTGAGGCATAGCATCATTTGCGTGTATACATATATATACAGTCGTGATAGTGCCTAAAGCAGCTCATTATTATTATAGATCACACAGATCCCAATCTAAACTCTATATATTGAGCAATTATACAACATAGAATCCTAGCTCTCTATGAATAGAAAGGAGATTAATAATAATAATAATAATAAAAAGGCCTTTGGAATGGAGTTTTGCTGGAAATGGAACACGAGGGTTTGAGAGACCTTACCAGAAATGGGCATCTTTTGAGAACCCCTAGAAATTCCACACAAACCCTGACTCAAAACTTGCACCATCTGGCCCTACCTACGAACCCTCAATATGTTTTAAAACACTAAATATTTGTGTGTATTGGGCAAGGACAAAGGCCATGCCCTAGAAACGCTTAACCTGAAATTGCTCCAAAGTGCTACTGCAATCTGCAACTTTTGTTTTTTGGTAACAGTAACACGTGCTCTTTTTTGGACACCAGCAGGCTCCTTCTTCTGGAAGTATTTTTAGTTGTGTGTAATGAATTCGATGAATATCAGTGTAAACGGTCGAATCAATCAGTTCATGAAAAATGAAGTGTAAATTGAACCAAACAAATTCTACGTGTAACACTTTTGTCGGGATAATGTAGCTCTTATAACAATATTTGCTTTCCTTTATATATTAAATGAAATTAAATAAGAGAGTACTTTTACTTATTTTTCCTTCTTTGAAAGAAAAATAAAATTCCAATCAAGTGAACCATATGACTCTCTAATTTCAGTTCTCTTCCAGCAATGTGCACCAGACTCTGTATGCCATGTACGTAGTTATATATGTTATAATGTAATGTATAACTTTTAAAAAAATGTACTGTCACTTTTTGTACACTTTGAAGAAAACTTAATCGAGCAAAAATTGTGAACATCATTGTTTGACTGTGTTTGTGGAAGTGAGTTGGATTTTCTACAATTTTTGTAGCTAAATTGGAGTCCCAAGCTCAATGATACTTCGTTTTTTCATTAATAATTATATTATATAAAAATTAATAGCTTTAAAATATCACATTGCCTTATTTTTAGTTACTAGAATACAAATATAAAAAGCTATTCAATATTTATGTAATAATTCATAGATTTATTTTTATTTAAATCAATCAAATATTTTATGGTAGTCACCTATCTCAAATAGGTTTATGGCAAAAACTAATACGGAGTAATTTAAAATTATGAGAGTGCATACACAGACACACACTTAACAATACTGTCTTAAGAATACACTATAATCAATAAATAATAAACCTATCTTTTCTTATAGCTACAAATTTAGGCAGTTTCCTTTGTGTCTTATGTTGAAGATTAAAAAATAAAATAAAAAAAAAACTATGAAGAAGCAGAAATTCATTAATTTTAGACAATAAAATTCATCACAAAATTGAAATTACACCACCATGGTATATTAACATTTCTGTACATGTACATTGGCCAAAATGCCCTTAAACGTCATAACAATTCCAAGCCTGGTAAATGCAAGGAATAAGATGCAACCCCGTCATTTCATGTCAACAAAGGATGTTTCAGTATTTTAAAAATTTAACAATAAAACATAACCCAAAAAAACGAAAATAAACCATACTCAAATAACTCCGAAAAAAACGCAATTTCATTTTTCATTTTTGCGACCTTTTATATTTTGTATTTGGATTATTCACATCACCTGTGATTTGCGGTCACCATCACGTGCCAGACCTTCGGTGACAGCCGCCAGTCTCTGTAGATTCAACTTCACAACCGTATCAGCAAACAGAAGCGTTTCATCCTCCGTGTTCCCTTCCGGCACATCCACGACGTACGATTCCAATACGACGGTCCAGATCCTCCCGTCACGCTCGATGCCGTGCACAGAGGTCACCGATCGGTAATTCCTCAGCCTGTGCTCACCGCCTATGATACTGAACCCGGTGACGTGCCGGTCATCGTCCAGTATGTCCAGCCTCTCGGTACTGGTTTCAGCCGGTAACCCCGATACGACGTTCACTTCCCGCGTGCACCCCACGGTCATGTTAGAGTCTCCCCTCACGGTGCAACTCTTGACGAAGTCCTTGTACGTTTGGGGCTTGTCGAAGCGGCGCACGACGGACCAGACCGTGTTGGGCGGCGCGTGGACTCGTTGCGCGAGTAGGGAAGCGCATTGGCCTTGGCCGACTCGGTAGGTGTGGAACTCGGTGATGAACCGGTTTACCTCAGCGAACTCGTCTTGGGTTAGGCCCCGTGGGAGAGTCAGGTGATGGGTGGTGGACATTGAGGTCTCGCCTTTCTCCATTGCTGCTAGTGCAGATGTAGAGAGAGAAACAAGTAATCTAGTCTAGAGAGAGAGAGATGGGGGGGGGGGGTTGGAGACAAAGAAAGTCGAGGGTAAAATTGGGAAAATGAGGTGGGTTTTTGTTTTTATGTTGTAATATAATAATGAAATAATGGGGTGGAATGTGAAATATAAAATTGTTATTTGGGGATGTTGGAAAGGTGTCGAGAAGTCGTGAAGACGGGTGGGTTCTGCCACCACGGCTCAGCTATTGTTGCTGGACAACTTAGCCCGGCTGAGCTGCAAAATAGGCTATATATATATATATTTAAGGATATAAAAATATAAACAAACAAGCAACTTTATGTTATGTTTCGGTCAAGTTTTCCAAAGACTTCCAAGCCTTAAAAATCCAACCGTAGATGATCAACGTAAGTTCGAAAAATTATAGGGTACAATGGTTGCACCGTGTCATCGACAGGTACAACCAATAGAGACAATTCACTAATGCAAACATGAAATAATAATTATCATTCTAAGTGTTGGTGGTGGAAAAAGATGACATTTAAAGGTGGTGGTGGCAATGGAAGAAGGCGGTGGTGGTGAAAGGCAACGATGATCGAAAGCGGTGGTGGCGACGGATGACAAAAGGCGAGGGTGGTAACGGTGGCGGAAGGCATCGGTGATGATCAAGAATTTTATTCTATTAATTTAGATAAATAATAGTTTTTTATTAAAAAAAAATGATCATTTTTACTTTAAATATCATGTCAAATAAAGAAGTGATTGAAATAAATTGTCCATTTTGTCCGATTTCATTTAATTTTGCTACCAAAATAAGCCCAATAATGATCTCCTAGTCATCAATGGACAAAATCTTCATCCACACCATATTTAGTGGTGACTGACGTATATGATTGCCATGTTTTTGATAGCATCAATAAATAAACCATGCTTAGTAATAGTTTGATTGGAACCTTTTGGATCCTAAACTAAAACCAAATCATAATCAAAGGTTTTTCAAAATTTTGAATAATCAAACCTTTCCTTCATTTAATCAAAATAAATTAGACTATAATTCAGCTCAATTCGACCCAATTTATCATATTTCTCATTAGAAAAGGGCTTCTGTATTAGTTGGCCTGCACTAACATGCTTTATCGCATTTTCTTGACTTAGTCGGGAGTGTTGCCAACAGAGATGTTGGGTAGGTGAGTGATTGTGGCGATCTTGTGGGCACATTGTCTGGTAAGGGAAATATGAAATATTTATATGTGGTGGTGTTATCTCTAATTGGTACGAGCTCTTTTGGAATAAAGATGAAAGAATCCTCAGAGCCCGACCCAACTGAGAATGTGGCCAACGGGTACGTTAAGCCCTAAAGTGGATGATTGTGGCGACCTTGTAGACACATCGCCGGTGTAAGAGAAAGGTGAAGAGTTTGTATATGGTACTCTTATCTTCAATTGGTACAAGACATTTTTAAAATAAAGCCCAATTAAGCATTCTTTAAGACTTGTACACTTGAATATCATACCATTCGGACAATGCCATCATACCATCGTACACTCGCCATTTAAATAGGAACGTTGTTGGCTTGCGCTTGCATTCCTCCTAACCCAAGTCAACCAGAGCACTGGGCCCAAACCAACCCAGCTAGTCATGTCCAATTAGTGGTTCTCTTTAGTCATCACAAGACGATTGGTTTCAGATGTTAATGTGATTTCTGTTCTATATTTCTAAGGTTTTTCTTCTTTTTTCTTTTTTTTTATTATTATTATTTTATTATTTTTATTATTTTTTATTTTTTATTTATTACAATTTTACAATTCATATATAATATATATAGAGAGAGTGATTCCCTCCTTGAAAAAGAAGAAGACATCCACATCATTCCACCACTGATCCAGGGAGGCATATCAATCCCATTATAGTATCCATTAAACATATATATAAGTTTAAGGAATCGTTACAAACTCCACAGTTGATGGGATTGACAGACTCCATTACATTTCATTTAGAATTGTCAATCTTATCCTCTAATAAGACAAATCAAGTAAAGCAAAAATAATATATGCATGTATATGTATATCGACATGCATGAATCTTCCAACAATTACCCACCATGTCCATGGATACTTGCTTGTTAATATTAAATTGTTTTTCCTTTTGGCTCTCTTAAGTCTTGTCCGTAACTTTTTGCTTGACTCTGTGAAAAAGTAGCTAAAGAGAATGTTGGATTGTTGCAAATTGCTCGCCCAATTGATGAGACATGATAATAAATCTTTGAGCCTTAATTGGTGCATTAGTCTATTCTAATCTTATCTTTTTATTTAACTAAGCTTATGATATGATATGATATTCTCAACTCATATGGCTCGACCTAGCCAACTTAATTGTTTCTAAGCCATCCCAATCGGCAAGAATAATTTCCAATTTTTTAAAATCATCACTCACATAAATTAAAAAAATGGTTAATTTCACTGACACTTCTTCAAATTTGATCAAATATCACATTAAATCATTTTTTGAAAATAATTATCACTCGCATTACAAACGGTTGGTCCGTTTTTCATTTACACCCTAAAAGTTATTTTTCAAATGTCAGATACCTTTTTGCATATCAAATGGCATTGATACCCTTCTAACTGTATGTTGACTTAAAAAAAAAAAAAAAAAAAAAAAAAGATTGAAAAGACATGAATACCCTTTGACCTTCATTATATAAATTTAAAATTATTATTATTATTATTATTATTATTATTATTATATATATATATGTACATCAAAAAATATGTATTAATGGAGAAAAGAGGGAGAGAATTTTGGGGGGTGAGAGAGTAATAAATGAGGGCAATTTGGTTATTTCAAGCTTTTGATATTTTGGATTAAAATATATTTAAAAAATACAGATAAAATTGTCATTTTGTACCTTTTTAACAGAAAAAGAAATTGAGGTCTGAGTAATTATTAATTTCAAAAGATGTTTCAGTGTAATATTTAGTTAAATATGATGGGGTGTCAGTAAAATTAATCATAAAAAAACATAATAATAAGATGTTTATTACACAATTAGAATCCATTGATTCTCGTGGCTTTGATACTTTGTCAGATACCCACACACACACACATACATACACACACACACATATATATATATATATGGGTCAATGCATCGTGACTTGAAAGTTATCTTATTTGCTTGTAATTCAAGCTACTATTTGACATAATGAGCATTGATTTTATTTTTTATTTTTTCATGCGTCATGAAATTGGCTATTGCAAGTAATGTACTTATTTTATACAAGCAGACCATGACAACTAACTGTTTGAAAAGCCTTAATATCTTTATATTGTGTGTGTGTGTGTGTGAGAGAGAGAGAGAGAGAGAGAGAGGAGTCTTGGACTCTATCCAACCTCTCAAATGGTTCTTTAGCAACTAATCAAATAGATTATGAGACAAATGAAATTCTTATGTTGTGACCTCAAAAGGAAAAGAGTGATATGTTAGAGAAATGGAAATATAGCTGAAAAGAAAATGTTTCAAAATATTTGGGTGGTAAGAAATGTAGTTCACAATTTGTCAAAATTATATCTATAATTCTTATTAGTTTAGTAGAATGTAGATTAATAAGTTGAAAAGAAAATTGAGTCAACTGAAGTTGAATGGTCTCTTCACCATCAATTTGATCGCCAACTTATGCACGCTTATGTCTAGAGAAAGTTAAAAGCATTACCTTGAATTCAAACCTATTGATGTCGACTCGTCGAGGCTGTCGTTTGTTACCAGGATTAATTTCGAATGTTAACGTTGGAAGTTGACTACTCCCTTTTGGATTCATAGCTAGATGATGCTCCCCTGAATGTTTCTACTGTTCATCATCCTGATTCAATCTCCAAGCATTACTAAGGTACGTAACATTGACGAAAATTAAGATTCAGTTTGTTTCGATGCAAAAGAATTCAATAACACGTGTTAGACTTTACTTGTTTCAATATAAAAGAATTTAGTAACACGCGTTGAACACTGTTTGTTTTAATGTAAAAGAATTTAATAACAAGCGTTGAACACTGTTTGTTTCAACGTAAAAGAATTTAATAACATGTGTTGGACACTGTTTGTTTCAATGCAAAAGAATTCAATAATACGTTTCCATCAATAATGCTCCTAGCATTTTTTTTTTGGTCTTTTAATTTCATGACTATTATGACTTCCAGCTAAGGGAAGTCCAAATAGAGAGATCAAACATTTACATTTCGTCTGCACTAATTCAATAATGTATGCATGTGTGCCTCAAGAATTATCCTATGGAAATTATCACATTATGGTTTTGTGGATTAAAAAAAACAAAATTATGGTTTTAGTTTTATTCAATTTTGTTCAAAGAACCCGATGAAATCATGTGTTTCAATCCACTAGTAGTGTGTAGATATTATTTGCTCTATATACTTTATACGCTCACGATTTTTAAAAAATATATTTATACCATTAAAATATATTCACACATCTAAAAAATAATAATCTCAACAATATGAAATGTCACATCACGAAAACAGCGAGTGCAATATGACACTCCAACAAATCATTGTTAATTACATACTCATAAATTAGTGAACTACATGTAGAAATGAAATTTTATATACGGGTTTTCAAATATAATTCTAATCTTTAATTTTATATATATATATATATATATATATATATATATATATATATATATTTAAATTCAACTTGAGATATGAAAAATATCTTAATGTCCTTCCCCAATAAATATTATTTATCTGATTAATCCAATCATGACAAATATAATATTATAAGATACAAAATATTACACCCCATACACATGATGTACGCGTTAATCACGCAATTTTCAATTATAATAATTAAAATAATTATTTATATATTAATTATAAAGGACAATGGTATATAAATTATTGTAATATAGATTCAGAGAATGTAACTAATTACCTGAAAAAGTCGATCTTCAAGGCGTGCGATTCTATCCAACAGTGACCTTTTGGAATGGGCCTCCATTTAATTTTAAAAGCCTTGTAACTAAAATAACATTGACC